TTGTGTAAACATTTTAATGTATCCACACCAATAAATGATTTGATTTGATTTGAGATCATGGATTGCTTACAAATATTGTTGGTTTAAATTCAAATGAGAAAAATGTTGGTACGAGCGGCTTTCTTCGAGACAAATGTCTGATTTTTTTTGTAGCTTCCAAATTTCAATGTAACTATAAAGTACAACCGTGGTTAGAGTAGTAGATATAATTAACATAATATACTTGTTTTTTTTTTAAATGAAATGAAGAATTTTAAGTTCGAATGTAAAATGTGTTAAGAAAATCTTTTTTATTTTTTACTAATTGACTTTAATAACTTCCTAACTTTACATCAATTTTACATTATTTCATGCTTTGAATACCATATACATTTTGCAAACTTAAAATCTATGGCAACCTTGTTTCAAAAACAAGCACAATTGTTCTTCAAAAGTTTTTTTTCTGTAACATGACAAATAAAAATGTCTCCCTCTTGTCCCCTCTAACCGTAGTGTATATAATCAGATAAGTAAGTGTAAGTAGTAATTGTAGTAATATTAAAACTTATTCAGAGAATAAACAGTACAATGTAAAATTTGTTTCATGTTTTTATTTTTGAGCTAAAAATATTCCTGGAATCCAAATGTATGTATGAAAAATTATCGAAACTATAACTACAGTAAACAGTCATTTTTCAAAGTGTAACAGTTGTTTTTGTTGTGGGCGTACTAGATTCCCCCAAAGACTATATTTACAACCTGAAAACATCTGAAGCATAAGAGTGAAACTCTAGTGCTGAAAATAAATAAAATAATAATATTGTGGCAGGTTGATTCCTAATGATCGATTCTATAAGGCGGTACGACACACATTATCCTCTTTTATGTCGCCTTTCACTTGAAATATGATATTTATAAAAGTTTTCCAGCCTGAACAAGTCTACACCAGTTATTGATTTTTTCTTACAACGGTAAACATTCATAAGTGTCACTTTATTTTATTTTTACCATCCTGAAATGCGGCAGGAGACAAAGCAGCAGAACGTATTTTAATAACATCGGCTTCTCGACAGTTTACAGTTTAATATAAAGCCTCTTCCTGCCTGCTTAATTAAAAGCTACAAAATTGTTTAGTTTATATTGCCTTGTAGTTTTAAACCAAAAAAAAAGTAATTATAAATTTAACGTAATTTCAAATATAATAAAGCAAAAATTTAAATACAAGGGAATATAAAGGACTTTTGTAATTAATAATAGGTATTGGTAAGATACGCAATTTTGGGATATTTGTAGTATTCAAAAATAGTATTGTTGTTCTTACCCAATGACCATTTGTGATATCAAATTGAACGTGACCGACCAAATCGAAAGACATTTAATATTTAATAGAAAAACTTAAACAACAAAAATAACATACAATTTGCATTGATAAGTTATAGAAATTGTTCAAACTGATCACCGTTTTCTCTCAGGCATAAATTTATTCTTCGTCGAAAATTGAAGTCTACTCTATCCAATAATTGTTTATTGTTTCTAATAAATGTGCATTTATTCGTAATGCGACTCCACAATTCTACTCGAGACGCAACTGGTGAGGAATACACACATTCTTTTAACGTTCCCCAAAGAAAGAAGTCACATTTATTGAGGTCTGGTGATCGTGGAGGTCAAACTTGTGGGCAATTATTTCCTCTTCCAGTTAATTTATTTGGATACTAGTGGTTCAAATGTCTCTAACAATATTCCTGTTCCAGTCTGAGTTGTAGTGGCACCTCGTCTAGTAGATCCGGGAGAGTGTTTTGGAGAAATTCTAAATAAGTTCCGCCATTTAGTCGATTCGGTAAAATAACTGGATCAATTAAATACCGATCAATAACACCGATTCAAATATTTATTTTAAACTCCGTTGGAAATATCGAGGAGTTGCTGAATGAGGATTTATGTAGAAATACTCATGATAGTTATGTATACAGGGATGGCCAAAAGTACGGAATAAACAAATAAGAAGTGGATCTTATTTGTGGAAGGGCGAAATGGGCGTTGACTATTAGACGCCTTCATTATAGCCATCCTTGTCTATCACATGGATTTCTATGGCTTACTTTATCGCTCTCACGTAACTTCTGATATACCATCGGTACTTTCCTACACTGTATAAGCTTTTCAACGAGACCCCTCATGTCTTATATTTCCATTTGAAAAAAAAAGTAGGGGTAGCTGGGGGTTAGGGGGTTGAAGAAAAATTAATTATTATGTAATTGAAAGATGGGAAAAAATCAAAATCAGTTAACGTGTTTCGGCGTTTTAAAAAAAAATTAACTCATTCAAAAGATATACTTTTGGCCATCCCTGTATACCTCTGCGGGTGAAACAAGCTTCATCAGTAAAGAGAATTTTCTTTTGAACATATTCCTGCTCTAACTTATGTGGTAAAATATTTTCTGTTATATTATTTGCACACTGAATAATTTCAGGAGGGGTATTTTCAAATTATATCTGAATTACTTGAATTACTAATTTTTACTTCAATTTGTACTTTGTAAAAAAATACTTAACCTTCACAAAACTATGGCGTTTCAAGACAAATAATTTTTACTGCCGTTTTACTGCAACTTACTATGATTATTAAACTTCCAAAGCACTTATGACCCAAAACTAATTTTGGATATTATAACAAACTTCAGTTTCTTAAAAACAAAAAACATTTACAGATTCAAATATCTGGGAAACCGCTGATGTTTGGAAATTGTTCAGAATTGGATGGTTATTCCTGTGGGCCATTTCCTTAAATCGTTGTCATTGAAAATTTGCTGTGCCATCTATATATCACTAAGAAGGGTATTTACTTAGTACATTTATAGAACATTTTTACATAAATTAAATATATTTTTTTGTTTCCGAGACATCGGCCTAAAGAGTTTTACATAGAACACCCTGAACACCTACACATTTCATTCCAGATTTCAGTATAATGTATTTCAATGAAACAGCTACACATCTAATGACTGGACTGGGAGCGCCATAAGGGCGTTATGATGTCATCATTGATGTTTTTTAAGGAACACCCAAATTTTTCTAGTACAGTCTAAGAACAATGTACATTGTACTACTGAAATACTTAACCTAAGCCATAGGAAAAGTAATACATTCCAGAAAAACAGAAAGCGTTTGTTTAAAAGAATTGGGCAGTTTATACATTGTTTTTATATCCGACACTAACATAGCTTTTGATTCTGCATTTTGTAGTAGCCGTAAGATCGTTGTCAGAGCATACGTAAATATTTTTAGAACGACAAACATGAATGCATGTTGAAAAGGTCCCAATACGCATCAATTAATTTACTAATGGCCGTGTCGCACATGCGATGTATGTTTTTGAAAAAGAAGGATTTTAAACCCTGACAAGTTGCGTGTTGTTGATTTATACATTCACAAATAATCCATGATGGAGATATGATGAGTAGGGTGGATCGGTTGTTAATTTGTCCATGTCGTCATGCTATAATAGGATTCAAAGCAAATAATTGTCTTGTATTATCTGTATTAGAACATAAAGATACAGTCACGTAATATTTTATCCCCATACTCGCTGTTCTAGAAAAAAAATGGTTAAGACCAAAGTTTTAGGAAATCATGTAAACTCTAAGAGACCCATAAAAAACAGCTGAATGTTGCGTTTCAGATATGTTGTATGTCCACGGAAGGAGTTGAAAAAAGGGAAGTTATTTATTTTTGATTTTATTAAAAAAAGTAGTTCTAGTTAAAAAAATCTATTTGTGATCAAATATGGCCAATATATGCAGAGTCCTCTACAAAGAAATAATTAGAAATATAGTCAAAAGTGTATACGAAGAGGCAGAGGCAGTTTTTCAAGCTAAATTTTCGATAAAATGTAAAATTTAATATAAATCAATAATAGATCACATGAATTAAGAAAGGTATACCTACATCCATACAATATTTGTTGAGATATAATTCCAAGAAAAGAATAAGCCAATAAAGTTCTACTATTGGAACTACTGTAACAATTTACCGCGACAGGGGCGTGCCTTGAAATTTTCCGAGTTAATTACAGAATATTAAAATGTATAAGGTAAATATATACACTTACGAAGAAATACGCATACTGCAAAACACAGTGTGCACTGCAAACTGCAACGGTGAACGCCACGTAGCCAATGTTTCTCTACCTCGGGTGTCGAATGCGGTTAATTCCAAGAAAATGACGCAGGGGTCTTCACAGAAATATATCTCAACAAATATCATATGGACTGTATGTAACCAACATTTTTCCATTAATATAAACAACAAAAAAATATTTTGAGTTGAAATTTAACATTTTGATAGTCAATGCTATTTGTTTAAAAAGTAATGTTTATTTCTGAAACGTAGGCCTTAACATTTACTGAGTAGGTACAATGCTATTCATTTGAAGGAACTTTTAATAAATTTGCATTTCTTTATTAAATAAAAAATATTTTTCTTTAGATCGTCATTTCCCAAAAACCGCCAAAGATAAAAGTAAACCTCAAAGTGACAATATGTACAGGAAAACTCGAAATCCATATTACATGATATCAAATATATAAAAGTGTTCCACTGCACCAGTTTCAAAATTGAAAAAAGAAAATTCATTAATCTGTAAATAGCTATCTAAAACATATTTATTGTAATTTTCGTGTAAATTCGAATTCGTTAACAATTCTCCTAACTAACTCGTGACAGAAGAGATATGGAAATTTGAGTGACCAAGGAATATCTTAAAAAAGCACCAAAGCGACATTTGAGTGTGAAAAAAAGTACACATTTTTGTATCATACTCTTAGCAGTACACTGTATACAAGTAACTCATTTTAAAATATAGGTACATTTTTCAGTTTATTTCAAAAAGAAGCTGTTAAATAGACTCTGCATTTGTTTTAGAAATATGTTACTTTGTTTAAATGTTTTGTTGTGTCACCGAAAAAAAGTAAATCTATTGTGAAGATAACTAAATAATTGCCTTTCCTCTTCAATTTCAGTTAAAATGAGAGCTGCCATCGCCATTCTAGCATTCTGTCTCCTAGGACAAAAAGCACATGGTTGGGGAGGACTTTTTAACAGATTCTCTCCAGAAATGTTGGCTAACATGGGATACGGGGGCCATGGTGGTGGATTCATATCAGTAAGTTGACAATTACTATAACTTTGTTAATATATAATAATTGATTAGTAGAATATCTGCTAAATTGTTGAACAATGTTATTTTAAATAAGTTAATGTAAAACCAACTATTACAACATTAAAATTACTCTATATTATTTTCAAAATCCTATACCTACATATTTATTTGAATTAAACGTTTTACAGTGTAATTCGGATTTAAGTTTCTTAATAGTTGTTCATAATATGCATATTTAAATAAATTTTACATTTAACGATATTTCGTTCAAGGAATTGTTCAAAAGGTTAGGTTTACATAATTTGCTACATTTTTTGACATTTAAAGCCATCACTTTTAAAAAGTCAATCATAATAACAAAAAGCCCAAACAATGACAGAATTACAGCTTACGCTATACAGGGTGTAACAAAAAAGGTGGGCTGGCTATACATAGCCATATTATACTCATAAAGGCGATCAAAAAAGTTTATATACACATCTGCTCTAAAATGATTCGTTTCTGAGTTATGGACACTTTAATCTTGGTCTGATAAATAACGTTTTTTTATTTATTTTAAATGAGTAACAAATAATGAAAACTACAACAACAGTAAATGAACTTAAAGGAGATGTTCAAAATGACCTCCATGAACACCAATGCATTGTTGAGCTCGTCTTGTCATGGACTGCCTCACTCGCTCAAAAATTCCTGGTGTGTTCCGAATTCTCTGGCATCCGTTTCCTACTCTCTGCCGAAGATCCTCGATATCCTGAACTGGAGTAGAATTCACCATTGATTTTAGATTACCCCATACGAAGACATCGAGGGGATTTAGATCCGGGGAACGTGCAGGCCACGCTATAGATCCTGCCCGGCCAATCCACCTTCCAGGATATGCTTCGTTTAAAAATTCACGTGCTATGAGACTGAAATGGGCCGGCGCCCCATCATGCATGAACCATATGCGTGCTCTAAAATTCAGTGGAACATCCTCCAACATGTTTGGTAGATCATTTTCTAAGAAATTACGATAATTTTGGCCAATAAGTCGTCCGGGAAGAACAAAAGGGCCTATCAAGAAATCACCAATGATGCCTGCCCAAACATTAATTGAAAATTTATGTTGAAGTCTGGATTGAATAATGGCATGCGGCTTTTCTTCATGCCATAGATGTACATTATGAAAATTGAAGATACCATCTCTTGTGAAGCCAGCTTCATCTGTGAATAATAAGGAAGGCAGGTACCCGTTGTAGGTGATACGGATAAAGTTGATTGGTCTTTAAAACCCGCCACACGGTCGTATGATCAACTCCTTCTCTTAATGCAATTCTTCGAGTACTGTCACCTGTTTCTTCCTCAACATGATGCAATATACGTTCTTCCAAGCGCAATGTTCTTGCAGTTCGTGGTCTACCGCGATCTCGGGCTCGCGGTTTGAAAGATCCTGTTTCCCTTAGCCTATTATGTAGCCTTTCAAAGGTTTTTTCATTGGGTAAACGTCAGTGTGGAAAATGCTCTGCGTAAAGTCGTCTTGCTTCAGCCCTATTGCAGTATGCCCACCCATACATCAAATGCATGCTTGACATTTCTTCAAAGCAATAATCTTCCATTTTCAGTGAGTAAAATTAATTACAAAAAAATGTATAATAGAGTCAGATACTTAACTGTCACCATGACACCAACCGCAATTATAATCTTGGATTACTTGATAATGGTCTGTTACTGTACCAGAACTATAGGAAACTAAAAACTTAAAGTGTTCCATAACTCAGAAACAAAGTATTTTAGAGCAGATGTGTATATAAACTTTTTTGATCGTCTTGATGAGTACAATATGGCTATGTATAGCCAGCCCACCTTTTTTGTTACATCCTGTATTAACGCAATTGCGATAAGAAACTTACAGGGTGTCCATTTTTCAAATTGCACTATTGGAAAATATCAATTATCTTAACAGATAAAAGGTAAGTAAAATAAAACAAAGTCATCGACGAAAAATTGAAAACTGGTATTTCCGTTTAATATTTTTAGCTTAAAATGGAAATATATTGAATTTTTAACCTCAGACATTGTTATAACACTTGTTTGGGGGTAATTCAAATATAGTCTTCTTCCTCGCGTTTGAAATGAGGACGGCGAGGGCGTGCCTTGAAATTTTCCGCCAATGTCTTCTACCTCGAATGCAATTAATGCCAAGAAAATTACGCAGGGGTCTTCTTAGAACTCTATCTCAACAAATATCATACGTACTATAGTAGCTTTGTTCCAATTGAAAATGGTTTCCAAAAGTCAGCTGTCAGACGCATGTGCATTCCGATATAATGCTTGCATAATGTTCAAAATACATTGTTTCAGATAAAATGTAATAGCTTCTAACTGTGGGAAACTGATTCTCCATGACTGTATCCAAGAAGGGAAAACGACATGCAACTTTTATTTTTCTTACGAGCGCTGTATAACATTTTTCGGATTTTTTAATTTAGCTTATTTTTGTAATTACGATGTGTCATATAATATAGGTTCGGAAAGTCCCCATGGTTCATCGACCGTTACGTGAGAGCGATAAAGTAAGTAATAAAAATCCGTGCGATAGACAAGGATGGTTACATTGAAGACGTTTCATAATCTGCATAGTCAGTCCCACTTCTAACCCGAAACGGGCCGTGACTATTCAGATTATGAAACGTCTTCACTATAGCCATCCTTGTCTATCGCACGGATTTCTTTACTTTACTTTGTCGCTCTCATGTAAAGGCAGATGGATAATGTGGTCCAGCCCTGTATGTATATTTTATTTTTTTCTAAATTGTTCATTTTTACAAAGAGTGCTTTGAAAACATAACATCTATTTATTACTTCATAAGAAATTTTGACAAATCAGTTAAATTTTCACTAACAAAATTAAAATTTGTATAGCTAAAATGGAGTTATTATCACGTGAAGTAAAGCAACATGTGTTCCGGATGTATTGATTAATTAATTTGAGGAATATTTGGTCACGTTTCATGTAAAAATTACATTATATTTTCCAATTACGTATATCGCATTAATAGTATCGAGCGATTATACAAGGTGATTCAGCATGAGAAATAGTCAATATTTTAAAAACAACTGTAGTCTTTAGCGTCATTCGCAATACGCGTGGAGAGCCACGTGGCCTCAGCGACTCCGAATATTGAAATTCGATTTTACAATCGTAGTTACGATAGTGCTTACAATAGTTTTTTAGTAGTTAGTGTCAAAAATGACTTATGTGAATAGCAACTTGGAGTTGATGGATATCGTTTTAATTTATGGTGAAGCAAGACAACATTTGTATTATGGTAAAGCATTTGTGTTATGGTGAGCTAAGAAAATATTTCTGGTAGTTCGTAGAAACTGAGTAAGACGGGCCCAAATGTGTTTACACGTCGGTGGACAAAATTTTCAACAGTTGTTATAACATCAGGTATGTCAAATTATTTTATTATTTAAAACCACAAATTAATTTTAATAATTAATAATAATAATAGCGGCAAAAGCAGTTGAATTTGCTGGTATAAAATAGGTGCTATAAAATTCTATTTATTTTTTCCTTGCGAAATTCTTTCAAGTTTTTGTCCGTTTTTGTCACACGTTGCCGCCATGGCGGTCGCATTGTGCGAGGTCAGGTCTTACAGTGGACCAGTTTCCAGTGCCGTGCAGAACTGCCCTTTTTGATTTTTTCTTTACAAAATTGTATTCGTAAGAGTCCCTTTTCTGAATCACCCTGTACACATTGCAAATTTAACACATAAAAATTTTTTTCACTTATCACGTCGGAAAGGGTACCTTTGTATATTTTTCTTAATATAGCATATTAAAAATATATGTATGAACCAATGACAAAAACCGTGCATTTGATTTATGGTCACAAGTTTCGTAGATTTCTGAAATTCTGGTAACACATTTTTAAAATTGGATTTTTAATAGGTACTAGCAATGAATACAGTTGGAGCAAATATTTTATATTTCAGTTCTTCATTAATAATATCATGACATAAAATTTAAAAAATCTAGATCCTAATTGGAAAATAATTATTCACTTGGTACATTGGAATGGTTTCGCCTGTACCTATACCTAACCTTTCCAGATGTTTTTTAGTTTGTAGGAGTGGTTTAATATCAGTTTTAGTTTCTGGATTAGGTGAAATAATCTGTAATATTGTTTCTCATTGCATAGGAAATAAGTGAAATCTATTACAATGGGGTGTGTGTTGCCTTTTTAGATATTACCATAAAGTGAAAGAATTTGACAAAAAACTTATACTGTAGGTATTCGTTTATTTTTTCAAGAAATCAGCTGTAATGTGCTGTGCTATCCCTTATTGGGTCATTTGTTAATAGGAAGTTAAACTAAAATATCATACCATTGTCCTTGTTCAGTAATAGCAGCGCCTCATTATTATTGATTCACGTATTAAGTATAAGTTTTTCAACTACTTTGTACAAATTATTCAGTGGAAACTGTTTCAATGTTTTAAAGTCTGTGAAAGTACAGTAGATAGTTCTGGTACCGTTAATCTAAATTAGAGTATGAAAATATTGGCTTTAGCTGTTTTCCTTGCTAAAATAATAAAAAAACTTTTCAGGGAGACCACAATAGAATAGGAATTTTCTCAGTACGATACTAACATTTTTAACTTTGTTGGCCTTCTGTGGTACCTGGCCTATACCAAATATAAATTGATTCCCACAAATTATTAGAAAACTGATAGAGCTAAATCAAGTAAAAACGAAAATTAGAAAATCAATTTGTATATCTATAAAACTATGAAAATAAAGAATTCGATTTAAAAAGCTTTTTACAAAATATGTTTAGATTTCCAGATATATTTTTTCTAAAGATATTTCAGGTAATCTTCAAACGCACACTGAATTCTGATGCCGCTGTCTGCTAAAAATACGTCGAAACGATACGGGAACATGCCGTCTATGTTTGCATTTTCCGATTTTATTCTCGAACGACAAGAAATTGAGCTCGTCTTATCTTTATCCCA